TAAATCTCTCAAACCAACCTTTGCTGGCCTTAAATTCACTCACATCATCACTAGTTGCAGGCCTTTTTTTAATTAAATCCTCATGCAACTTCCTAGCCTTTTCACATATGATCGCTTGAGAGACGCTATCTCCTGCTAGCTGTTTTTCATTTATCCACACCAATAAGAGTCTCTCAACATCTTCCATCACTTGCGATCTTTGTTTCGAAAACACAGTTAAACCTTTGGCAAGAACAGCTTCCTTGATTGCCTTTCTGTTGCCCACAATAGTAGAGATGGTTGATTTGGGTTTCTTGTACAACCTGACCAGGTCAGTGATACGCACTCCACTTTCATACTTATCAATGATCTCTTTCTTCATTTCTATAGGAATTCTAACCCTTATTGCTGTAGGGTTGGAACTAGAAGCTTTCTTGGGGCCCATGGTCACTTATTTTCCAGAAACAGCACCGAAAACACTGTAATAATACGAAATATTCCGATTGTATGCTTGAATGTTACCGCGGAGGCTGGCTGGTAAACAATGCCACCGGCGGAACATATGAGGCTGGCTCAGGCCGCACATTGGACGCGTCTCGGACGAAGGGCGCTGAGCGGGTTTTTGGGCGGTATGCGGGGCAAAATTTTAGCGATCAAAGCGTCCGGTATGCGGATTGTCCGTTATGCAAGGCGTCCGTTATGCGGGGGTCCACTGTATATATTTTTCATTTTTAACACATGGGCCATTTCCCACCGAGGCAGGGTGACCCAAAAAAGAAAGAAAAACCCAAAATGAAAGAAAAAACACTTTCATCATCATTCAGCACTCACCATCACTTATACATAATCACTGTCTTTGCAGAGGAGCTCAGATACAACAACTTAGAAGTCCCTTCAAACTGTCAATATCTCAAACCCCTCCTTTAAAGTGCAGGCATTGTACACTTCCCATTTCCAGGACTCGAGTCCCGTTAACCGGTTTCCCTGAATCCCTTCACAAAATATTACCCTGCTCACACTCCAACAGCTCATCAGGTACCAAAAACCATTTGTCTCCATTCACTCCTATCTAACACGCTCACACACGCTTGCTGGAAGTTCAAGCCCTCGCCCACAAAACCTCCTCCAGCTTTTTCAGGGATGACCCCTACCCCGCCTTCCTTCCCCTACAGATTTTATGCTTTCCAAGTCATTCTACTTTGTTCCACTCTCTCTAAATGATCAAACCACCTTAGCAGCCCCTCTTCAGCCCTCTGACTAATACTTTTAGCAACTCCACACCTACTCCTAATTTCCACACTACGAATTCTCTACATAATACATACACCACACATTGCCTTAGACAAGTCGACTCCTACTTCGTATCCCACATCACTGAAAATTAACCAGACAAACCATACCTAATCACTGCCAGTTACTCAAAAGCTACTCGCGTTGTGCTGATGAATGCTCAACCACTTACTAAGTACTTCAAAATAAGGATGTCTAAATTTCATTGTTTAAAATAGTTCTAAATTGTAATACGTACATCATAATGTAAATTGTTTTTAAATTGTTCCATTGTAATACCAAATTTCATTGTTTTAAATAGTACTAAGCTGTAATACATCATATTGTAAATTGTTTTAACTTTTTCCATTGTAATACTGTAATCTTTATAAACTAAGTCAATGGTGTAATAATTCTCTACTAGACTTATCAAAGCCATGTTGCATTACCTAATAGAATATTCAGTTCTCTTGTACTTATTGTAACTCATCTAATGACCATATAAACTATTATTGCCTTCCTAGTCTTAAGTTAATCTTAAAGTTTGCCCAAAATGCTCTGCATACAAAGGGTCTTTTGGAATGCACACTCAACTGTTATATTCCTCTGTACAACCATGTATCATGTCAGAATAAACATCTTAATCTTAATATCTCCCCCTGCTTTTAACAGTTCCAGCTGCTTTATCCCCTTTCATTCTATGTAATGCTTCACACACCTCCACACTCACATCCTGCTCTTGTTCACTCCTAAAAGATGTTATACCTCCCTGGCTAGTGCATGAAATTACTGCCTACCTTTCTTCATCGACATTTAAAAGTTCTTCAAAATATTCCTGCCATCTACCCAGTATCACCAGCTCCCCATCTATTAACTCTCTTACTCTGTTTTTAACTGACAAATCCATTCGTTCCCTAGCCTTTCTTACCCTGTTATCTCACTCCAAATTTTTTTCTTATTCTCAGCAAAATTTCTTGACAGTTCATCTCCCACTTTATCATTTACTTTCCTGTTGCACTCTCTCACCACTCTCTTCACCTTTCTTTTACTTTCCATTTACTTTGCTATTCTTATGTCACTTCTGCTTTTTAAAAACCTCTCGTAAGCTACCGTTTTCTCTTTTATCGCACCCTTTACCATCATTCCACCAGTCACTCCTCTTTCCTCCTGCACCCACCCTCCTATATCCACAAAATTCTGCCTCATTTATTGAGACATATTTATTGAGACATTTATTGAGACAGCCAGTAAAATAGGAAGTAGTAACATAAATATTATTAACTTACCATTTTAAACATAAATCAGTGGAATTTGTCTTGACTTTAGAGCAAAATTATCAGTAACTTTGCTATAAAATTCTGCCTTGCTCTGAATATTCTGCAGTAATAATTTTTCAATTGATAGAAGGGCAAAGCTGTGCAATCCTTTTTTTCCCTTGAAATTTTCTGGAGTAAGTTTTATTTTGTGATATAAATGGTTTAGAAAACTGACAAGTTGAAGAATTAGACACTTTTGCAGCATTTGGGAATCTTTATCGTGGAAATGTTTCTCCAAGAAGTGGCTTCCTCAGTCCACTAGAGAGATGAATGGTGGAATATGAGAAGGAGTTTGAGGTAATCAGTCTGATTACCAACAAGAAGCCACTTGAAGACTGTATGATGTTGCATTGTCTGACAAATGATTTTTAAACCATTTATCACATTTGTCAGACACTGCAACATCATTCAACTTGTCGTTTTTTTAAATCATTTATCACAAGAAGCCACATGTTGGCAAAATGCTTCCACAATAAAGTTTCCCAAATGTGGCAGCAGTGTCTAATTCTTCAAGTTTTAATTTGTTTCAAAGCAAAGAAGCTGCACTCTACAGATACAATTGCAGGGGAAGGATGGAGGGACACTGTGGGGTACACTCTGCTTTCCTTGCTCAAATCTCTGGCAGAAGGAATTCTTCCAGGTTAAGACAGTAGATAGTATTGAGGAGAAACTCTAGCATAAGAATGCCTGTCACAGCATTTTAGACTGATCTGAATTACATTTACATACATAGATTTGGGAAAAGTGGCTTCATATAATTTTAATTATGGTAGTATGTTCATCTTATGGTTCATAAGTCTGAACTCCTGTTGACCCAGAATTAAATTCTGGCAGGCTGGACTTGAGCCCTGGAGAAGGGAAGTACAGTGCCTGCACTCTGAAGGAGGGATGTTAATGTTGCAGTTTTAGAACTGTAGTGTAAGCATACCTCTGACAAGACAATGATGATGAAAATTTTTCTTTTTTGGGCCACCCTGCCTTGGTGGGAAATGGCCGATGTGTCAATAAAAAAAATAAAAATAACAAAATGCAGAATGCTGTATAGAGTTAGTTAATATGTTAACTAAACAAAGAGGTATTTTAATCTTGAAGACAAGAATTTTTATAGGATAAACAATGCTGTCCTTCCTTCTTAGGAATACACACCACTTTTTTTTTATCCGTAAGAGATGTTACTTTTAGTGCATTAGGTGTTGTCTATAATGGTTAATATTCTCACAGTAGGTTGTTATCTACAGTGGATAATACTTTTAGTATGTTGAGTATTATCTACAGTATTATTTCACAGTGATTTGCGTGTTGTCTTCAAAATGTAGGCTGGTGGAGTTTTTATTCTAACCAGTCTTATACAGTACTGTATATTGAAATATGGCAAAACAGCATACCTGGAGGGTGTTCCGGGGGTCAGCACCCCCACAGCCAGGTCCATGACCAGGCTTTGCCTGGGGGTAAGTGTATTGTAATAGCTTGTGTTACTGAAATTATTGGAGGTGAACTTTGTTAATTGATCATTAAGCTTCAAGACCTTTGTTTTATGAAACTGTAGATATGGCATGCAACACTTATATTCTTGGCCTAAATGTTCTATGTGGTGGGTAAGGTCAGCTTTGTCTGTCCATGAATTACCATACTGGTCCAGTAGGTCAGAAAAATGTGCTGTCTTATTCTAAATTCATGTTGCCCTGGATTCCACAAGTCAATATTATCTTCATTCTTGATAATATTACAGTACGTATTTCAACAATATTTTGGTATCTCTTGACAATATTACAGTATCTCTTGACAATATTACAGTATCTCTTGACAATATTACAGTATCTCTTGACAGTATTACAGTATCTCTTGACAATATTACAGTATCTCTTGACAATATTACAGTATCTCTTGACAATATTACAGTATCTCTTGACAATATTACAGTATCTCTTGACAATATTACAGTATCTCTTGACAGTATTACAGTATCTCTTGACAATATTACAGTATCTCTTGACAATATTACAGTATCTCTTGACAATATTACAGTATCTCTTGACAGTATTACAGTATCTCTTGACAATATTACAGTATTTCTTGACAGTATTACAGTATCTCTTGACAATATTACAGTATCTCTTGACAATATTACAGTATCTCTTGACAGTATTACAGTATCTCTTGACAACATTACAGTATTTCTTGACAGTATTACAGTATCTCTTGACAACTTTACAGTATTTCTTGACAGTATTACAGTATCTCATTACAAAATGTTTATGATGCATGATTTTGGTTATTGGCCATTAGTTTTGGGAGCTATTTTGCTCTCTCTATCTTCATAAAGAAGAAAAATATTTTCTCCTTTGAGACTTTAGCTATAATATAAGGTTATAATAAAGTATAATGTAAAGTTTATCACTATTAAATACAGTATAATGTAACAGCAAAATTTGACAGAGCTGGCAGCTGCTTGAAGACCAGACCCTGTTGCTGGTGACACGCTGGGTCCATCACTCTCCTAAGAGTCGTGAGCGAAACCTGCGCAGTCTCCTCACTTGGGTTCAGTGGCCCCGCCTCAACCCACAAACAGCCATCCACCTCATCCAGACCCACCCACTCTACACTAACCCCAGTTCACTGCTTGCATTATTCTTCCTGTTAGATGCTCTCAATGAACATTCTCTGCTACCTGCCAACTTACTTGCATCTTTCTCAAAACTGAAAGTCAAGTTCTGTCAAGTAAGTATGTTATGTCATGTGTTTTGTAATATGACTGAAATGTACATTCTTTTACTGCTTTTGTTCTCTGAAATGTTTTAATACTAGCAATATATGTTATCATATCTGAACTTGTGAAAACAGTTGTACATTTACGTGAAAAAGTGAGCATTTTTCTCCCTCATGTATTTTTGCCTTTCTTCCTTGCATTCACTTGCCCCTGCGTAGGTCAAATTTTTGCACATATCGAGTAGATTCTGCAACATTTAGGGTGGTACAACCTGACTTTTCTTGACTTGGTTCACCAAAGTTACCTAAAAACCAAATGTTTACTCCAGTGTTTACTCGTAAAAGTTTACTAAAAGTCAAATGCCTGTCAGTAATTCAATTTTTAAATGTATCAATCTGTCTAGCTGTGTTTGTAAGGCTTGACTCTCAATTTCTGGTCCTTACATCCTAACCATTAATTGACATGCAATGCATCACCAAATCTCATTTTGAAAAAAAAAAAATCGTTGGAGGACCTAACCTCAGCCCAGCCACCTGACTTCAGCATAGTAAAACACATCCTCATAGTCTTCATCTTAGCTCAGATGAGAAGCTTTGAAACTAATGAGGTTTCAGACCATGTTTCCTGATAAAATTCACACCTGACAGTCATAACAACACTAATCACATCTTTAAACCAGAGAATCTTACCTCACTAAATCTGCTGATGAATAATGCAGTGAAATTGCATTGGGATTTCAGCATTCAGTTTCAGCACATTTGCACCAATTCTTGCAGCCACATTCCTCTCAGTTTGTCTTTACTTAGGTTAAGTTTGGTCACACACATTCACTTTTTTTTTTTTTCCCCAAGATACTGGATATATCCCACTGTGGAAAGGTGACCTAAAAAGAAAAAACAGGGTTTTCCTTTCAAATTTAATAATTTATACAGCAGAAGGGGCTACTAGCCCCTTGCTCCTGGCATATTAGTCACCTCTGATGACACGCATGGCTTACGGAGGAGCAATTCTGTTCCACTTCCCCATGGAGATAAGAGGAAGTAAACAAGAACAAGAACTAGTAAGAAAATAGGAGAAAACCCAGAGGGGTGTGTCTATATATGCTTGTACATGCATGTGTAGTGTGACCTAAGTGTAAGTAGAAGTAGCAAGATGTACCTGATATCTTGCATGTTTATGAGACAGAAAAAAGACACCATCAATCCTATCATCATGTAAAACAATTACAGGTTTCTGTTTCACACTCACTTGGCAGGACGGTAGTACCTCCATGGGTGGTTGGTCTACCAACCTACTACGTAGGATATTTCCCCAGGTGGTTGCTGGCTACCTGGAGTTTACCTGGAGAGAGTTCCGGGGGTCAACGCCCCCGCGGCCCGGTCTGTGACAAGGCCTCCTGGTGGATCAGAGCCTGATCAACCAGGCTGTTACTGCTGGCTGCACGCAAACCAACGTACGAGCCACAGCCCGGCTGGTCAGGAACCGACTTTAGGTGCTTGTCCAGTGCCAGCTTGACAAGCACCTAAAGTCGGTTCCTACTGCCTAGGATATCTCCCTGGGTGGTTGCTTCTACCAACCTACTACCTAGGATACCTCCCCAGGTGGTTGCTGTCTACCAGCCTACTACCTAGGATACCTCCATGGGTGGTTGCTGTCTACCAGCCTACTACCTAGGATACCTCCCTGGGTGCTTGCTGTCTACCAGCCTACTACTTAGGATGCCTCCCCAGGTGGTTGCTGTCTACCAACCTACTACCTAGGATACCTCCCTGGGTGGTTGCTGTCTACCAGCCTACTACCTAGGATACCTACCTGGGTGGTTGCTGTCTACCAACCTACTACCTAGGATACCTCCCCAGGTGGTTACTGTCTACCAGTGTACTGCTTAGGATGCCTCCCCAGGTGGTTGCTGTCTACAAACTTACTACCTAGGATACCTTCCCAGGTGGTTGTTGTCTACCAGTCTACTACCTAGTATACCTCCCCAGGTGGTGGTTGTCTACCAGTCTACTACATAGTATACCTCCCCAGGTGGTTGTTGTCTACCAGTCTACTACCTAGTATACCTCCCCTGGTGGTTGTCTACCAGTCTACTACCTAGGATACCTCCCCAGGTGGTTGTTGTCTACCAGTCTACTACCTAGGATACCTCCTCAGGTGGTTGTTGCCTACCAGTCTACTACCTAGTATATCTCCCCAGGTGGATGTTGCCTACCAGTCTACTACCTAGTATACCTCCCCTGGTGGTTGTTGTCTACCAGTCTACTACCTAGGATACCTCCCCAGGTGGTTGTTGTCTACCAGTCTACTACCTAGGATACCTCCCCAGGTGGTTGTTGTCTACCAGTCTACTACCTAGGATACCTCCTCAGGTGGTTGTTGCCTACCAGTCTACTACCTAGTATACCTCCCCAGGTGGTTGTTGTCTACCAGTCTACTACCTAGGATACCTCCCCAGGTGGTTGTTGTCTACCAGTCTACTACCTAGTATACCTCCCCAGGTGGTTATTGTCTACCAGTCTACTACCTAGTATACCTCCCCTGGTGGTTGTTGTCTACCAGTCTACTACCTAGTATACCTCCCCAGGTGGTTGTTGTCTACCAGTCTACTACCTAGGATACCTCCTCAGGTGGTTGTTGCCTACCAGTCTACTACCTAGTATACCTCCCCAGGTGGTTGTTGTGTACCAGTCTACTACCTAGTATACCTCCCCAGGTGGTTGTTGTCTACCAGTCTACTACCTAGTATACCTCCCCAGGTGGTTGTTGCTTACCAGTCTACTACCTAGTATACCTCCCCAGGTGGTTGTTGTCTACCAGTCTACTACCTAGTATACCTCCCCAGGTGGCTGTTGTCTACCAGTCTACTACTTAGTATACCTCCCCAGGTGGTTGTTATCTACCAGTCTACTACCTAGTATACCTCCCCAGGTGGTTGTTGTCTACCAGTCTACTACCTAGGATACCTCCCCAGGTGGTTGTTGTCTACCAGTCTACTACCTAGGATACCTCCCCAGGTGGTTGTTGTCTACCAGTCTACTACCTAGGATACCTCCCCAGGTGGTTGTTGTCTACCAGTCTACTACCTAGGATACCTCCCCAGGTGGTTGTTGTCTACCAGTCTACTACCTAGGATACCTCCCCAGGTGGTTGTTGTCAACCAGTCTACTACCTAGGATACCTCCCCAGATTGTTGTTGTCTACCAGTCTACTACCTAGGATACCTCCCCAGGTGGTTGTTGTCTACCAGTCTACTACCTAGGATACCTCCCCAGGTTGTTGTTGTCTACCAGTCTACTACCTAGGATACCTCCCCAGGTTGTTGTTGTCTACCAGTCTACTACCTAGGATACCTCCCCAGGTTGTTGTTGTCTACCAGTCTACTACCTAGGATACCTCCCCAGGTTGTTGTTGTTTACCAGTCTACTACCTAGGATACCTCCCCAGGTGGTTGTTGTCTACCAGTCTACTACCTAGGATACCTCCCCAGGTGGTTGTTGTCTACCAGTCTACTACCTAGTATACCTCCCCAGGTGGTTGTTGTCTACCAGTCTACTACCTAGTATACCTCCCCAAGTGGTTGTTGTCTACCAGTCTACTACCTAGTATACCTCCCCAGGTGGTTGTTGTCTACCAGTCTACTACCTAGTATACCTCCCCAGGTGTTTGTTTTCTTCCAGTCTACTACCTAGGATACCTCCCCAGGTGGTTGTTGTCTACCAGTCTACTACCTAGGATACCTCCCCAGGTGGTTGTTGTCTACCAGTCTACTACCTAGGATACCTCCCCAGGTGGTTGTTGTCTACCAGTCTACTACCTAGGATACCTCCCCAGGTGGTTGTTGTCTACCAGTCTACTACCTAGGATACCTCCCCAGGTGGTTGTTGTCAACCAGTCTACTACCTAGGATACCTCCCCAGGTTGTTGTTGTCTACCAGTCTACTACCTAGGATACCTCCCCAGGTGGTTGTTGTCTACCAGTCTACTACCTAGATACCTCCCCAGGTTGTTGTTGTCTACCAGTCTACTACCTAGGATACCTCCCCAGGTTGTTGTTGTCTACCAGTCTACTACCTAGGATACCTCCCCAGGTTGTTGTTGTCTACCAGTCTACTACCTAGGATACCTCCCCAGGTTGTTGTTGTCTACCAGTCTACTACCTAGGATGCCTCCCCAGGTGGTTGTTGTCTACCAGTCTACTACCTAGGATACCTCCCAAGGTGGTTGTCTACCAGTCTACTACCTAGTATACCTCCCCAGGTGGTTATCTACCAGTCTACTACCTAGTATACCTCCCCAAGTGGTTGTTGTCTACCAGTCTACTACCTAGTATACCTCCCCAGGTGGTTGTTGTCTACCAGTCTACTACCTAGTATACCTCCCCAGGTGGTTGTTGTCTACCAGTCTACTACCTAGGATACCTCCCCAGGTTGTTGTTGTCTACCAGTCTACTACCTAGGATACCTCCCCAGGTGGTTGTTGTCTACCAGTCTACTACCTAGGATACCTCCCCAGGTGGTTGTTGTCTACCAGTCTACTACCTAGTATACCTCCCCAGGTGGTTGTTGTCTACCAGTCTACTACCTAGGGTACCTCCCCAGGTGGTTGTTGTCTACCAGTCTACTACCTAGGATACCTCCCCAGGTTGTTGTTGTCTACCAGTCTACTACCTAGTATACCTCCCCAGGTGGTTGTTGTCTACCAGTCTACTACCTAGTATACCTCCCCAGGTGGTTGTTGTCTACCAGTCTACTACCTAGTATACCTCCCCAGGTGGTTGTTGTCTACCAGTCTACTACCTAGGATACCTCCCCAGGTTGTTGTTGTCTACCAGTCTACTACCTAGGATACCTCCCCAGGTGGTTGTTGTCTACCAGTCTACTACCTAGGATACCTCCCAGGTGGTTGTTGTCTACCAGTCTACTACCTAGTATACCTCCCCAGGTGGTTGTTGTCTACCAGTCTACTACCTAGGATACCTCCCCAGGTGGTTGTTGTCTACCAGTCTACT